AAGTTTTCATTTGTTCCCAAAGGTTCTTCCACTTATGTGTTCACAAGTGTTTTATAGGGAGATAATGAGCTGTGAGGTCAAACACATGAATAAAGTGCATTAAAATGGTACGCTGGATATTAGTGATTCATTTCCTCGCCAGTACTTGTTTCATTCTTTATGATTTGACTTTTCTTACCTCTTATCTTTCATCCTTTCTACTTTTTCTTCCACCAATCCGTATCTACAGTCAGGCTTGTGGAAATGTCCTCCTCACTGCATCGCTATTAAAGAAACTATATGATGCAAATACAGTGTGATAATATGCACAGAGAACTCTCGTGTTAATTATACATGAAAATAAGACATTTTAATACTCCTTCGATACTCCTTTCCACTCCCTAACTGGTTTACTTTTGTGAAGGTCAAATCAAAGGTTGCGAGACTTCTTCTTTAGCTGTGAAACTCAGCAAACATATACATGTACATTGGGGTGACCGTGGCTCAGGGGGTTGGGAAGCGCATCTGTAACCAGAAGGTCGCTGGTTCGATCCCCGGGCTCTCTGGCCTCGTCGTTGTGTCCTGCCTTGAAAAGCGCTTTATAAATCCAATCTATTATTATGTAGGAGGGCTGAAAGCTAATAAATACATTTTCTCAAGTTGAATCTTTTGTTAAATAATAAGCAGCTAGTTTGAAAACTCACCTGAATGAACAACAGCTGTGCAGGAAAAAAAAAACAAATGTCAAAAAATGTAACTGATCTTCATCAGGTATTAAAATAAATCATAAATAAAAATATCCAGTAATATATTAAAGATACACTCCTAAGTGTGGCAGTGTTTCACTACAGCTAACAGAAAGCCAAGTGTACATCAAACATCCTTTTTCTGTTCTTTCTGACAGGATGAAAGCACGTGCATATTAACAGCTCTTTCAATGAAACACTTTTTATATTTTGTGAATCTAGGCAAACATTTTTTAATGACTTTCAGACCATAAAAAGACCAAAAACACATTTTATTTAAGTCCCATTGGCCCATTTTGTTAAATAAAAGAAAAAATTTAAACTAAAGAAGGAAGAGAGCAAATTTTGTTTTAAAACATCTTCAGGTATCACATTTAAAGGAAATAGTTTGAATTTAATATGATTAGAAGAAATTTGCATTTTTTTTTAATCCAACAGGGAACATGTGATACTGAGCACAAGTATAACATACATTTCTAACATTAATCTGCAGCATCGGTCAAGGGTTCAGGTTGAAGGAATGACAACATTTTCTAACTAAATAAATATAAATAAAGAAACCCAAAACCTGATTGAAAGGACTGACTCGCTTCCAGCTATATTCTTATTTGTATTAAAGGAGCAAACTAACAAGTAGGCACAGACAAACTTACACTGAAGCAAACAAACGTTCTGAGTGTTTTTAATAGTTGAAACTAAACAGCAGCGCAAAGGCTTCAGTGTGACAGCTGAACAGTGTCTGACAGGAAGAGCTTCCCCTGTTTCAGACAATATCTGGCTGCCAGGTTTTACTCTACCTGCCTCAAGAAAGGTGACGGCTACCGAGGGAGGTCGTCACCACCGTGGAAGGCAGGGGTCTGTGCAAAGAACATCGCACGTGACTCTCCTGAGCCTCCAGGAGCCACGCCTTTTCATTCTTTGAGTTGCTTTCTGCAGCCTTGTTGTACCCACAGGCGACGGGCTCGGCCAGGGGCAGCTTCACAAGGCTGCACAGGAGGAGAACATCGAAGAATCAATCACATGTCTAAGCATCATCGTGGCTGTTGGGTTTCATTGTGAGCAACTTGCACAACACCCGGGTGTTTTTATTATTCTGTTTTATTTCAAAACATTTAGCACATTGAAATATAGATTATTTCCAAATCCTGTTAAAATTCCTAACTTAAAACCAAAGCTGGATTTCACTGCAGATAAGCCTGAATCATACTGAAATATAACAACAACAAAGGCTTCCACGTGTGATCCTGGAACACACATTGAATAACTGAACAAGTTCTCTTTCAAACATCGTCCCTCGGTGGATTCTCCTGCCTGCTAAACCAGGCAGTCCAAGTGTCTCTGCTAATGAGACAAATGTTTTTAATCCTTGCAGCAGGTCCACCTTCCTGTTTGCTCACCACAAGGTCCAAATCATCTCTTCTATTTTCAAAGGCTTTAAGTATCGCTGGTGTGTCCAGCTGCAAGGAGTTTCCACGTCTCACGGGTTCATTTCTTCCCCATGATGAAGCTGGGCGCTTCTGCGTCATCCTCAGCTTCTCTTTCGTCTTCATCATCTTCATCCTTGCTTTCGTCATCCTCCTCGCTCTCGGAGCTCTTGTCGTCTCCCTCCTTCTTGCTTTTAGTTTCAAGTTTAGCTTTCTTCGCCAGGAGCTTCTTCTGCTTCATCTTCTCTCGCTTCTTCCGCCGCTTCGCCGTCCTCTCTTCGGCGGCCTGTTTGTTCTGCTCCAGTTTTTCCAGGTACTCCTCGTCCTTCGTTTGCTTCTCTGATATCTTGTCCAGAAAGTCCTGTCTCTGGTACTCTCTGCGGCGGAGGTGGCGATAAACGTGGAACTCTCCGCTGCCTGCACCGGCGCTGGAGCCCATCACGTCCCGGACGAACTCGGGCGGAGCTCGCGGGTTCCATTCTTTGGGTCGGTCTGGGATGGGAGCGAGCTTATCTGGGTTTCGCATCAACTTCTCCAGTTTCAGACGCTGTTCCTCCGCCGGGGTTTTGGCGATAATGAGAGGCTGAGCCTCTTTCCCTCCAGGTTTCCCCGGTTTGTTATTCTTCTGTGTGGGCGCCGCCATCTTTCGAACAGTTGCCCTCTTCTTCCTGTGGCTGTAAAATGCTCCGGAAGTCCTTATCTGCTTCTGTGACCTGAAAAAATATATTTTTTATTATAATATTTTATTTTATCAAAGAAAACACGCCATATGCATATACATGCTATGTGAATTCCACATTATTCTTATTTTTATTGTAACATTGTTACTATTATATTTTCTAAGTTACATCACTTTAAACGTCTTACGTTCGCCGGCGTTGAATGACGTGTGACGCCACCATTAGCAAATCAGACTCGATTTATTT